GCACTAGTACCTACTACTGCTACCGTGAAGCTCTTCAAATTCACTAAAGGTGCAGACAGACTGTGTGTTATCAACAATCTCACAAGTGTGCTGCATGTCACACTGTGTGAGATGGGCCTAATAAAGTCTTGGTCACAATCTGTGTCGGATGCAAGCAGAGACATATCACCCATCTAACCTCGCTCTGATGTTTTGAAAAAGCAGCAAAACCATAAACAACCTTTGGCCGTAAAGCTTGTACTTCTTTGTATAGAAGAAACTCAGAGGAAGAGAAGATAATAAAAGATTGTGAAGCCGGTGAAAACAGGTCAACATGTCACCAGTATTTTTTGTCTTATAGCGATGAGGATTAAAATTTCTTGCCACCACTATGAAGCTTTTGATGAAGGGCTTGATGGGCTTATGAAACCCTTTCAATAGTTTCTACACACACACACACACACACACACACACACACACACACTCTTAGTTGTTAAGTTATTTCTGAGATGAAGTGGTCTGCACAAAAGACACAGTTCTCTTCTTCACATTCAAATTCTCATTTTTTCTTCCATCTGTTGGTTAGATACTGACACTAAGGAGATTTATCAAACTTAAAATTCTTAAATTCTAGACCTAGCATTATCAACAATATCCACTTCAGTGTCCTTGAGCAAAAAAACAAAACAAAAAATGTCCGACTCCAGAGAGTTTTCTTCAGCTTACTCTGCACTTTGACTGCCAAGTGAAGGAGGAATCTCCATGTACATCCATAAAGTATCGTGTTAAAGGGATAGTTCAGGATTTTTGACGTGGGGCTACTTATCCATAGTCAGATCAGTGTATTGCCTGCAGTACGGCGGTCAGCACTTCCCCAGTTTGGAGAAGCAGAGAGTTATGTCACTATGGAAGCTAAGCAATGCGCTGCCGTGGACAGGATCAACTAAACATATTTTAGCCACCTAAAGAAGGCCCAGCGGGGGGGGAGGCAGTATCAGTTTATGTTTATGCTATATTTAGAATTCAGCACTTGCCGTCATACAGCCATTTCGTTTGAACTACATTTTCTCAACGGTAGAACTTCCGTATGACAATGCATAAGCGCAACTTGGCTGTGCGCTGGATTACGCCGCTGGAGCCCGACTTTAAAAACTGAACTATACCTTTAAACCACAGATTTACATTGACTACTTTAAACAGGACTAAAAGGTAGACAAGCCCCAACCTCTCTGAAAAAGCCCACAGACTAGTGTTTACCTCTTTAAACAGGACTAAAAGGTTAGCAATTAAAAGTGTTAGCCTGAGATGATATCCAACGAAGGACTCTCTATAGCAACAGTATGAGCGATTTACAGAGCATGTGAGGCTGTGAAATAAATTTCACACTTCAGTGCACTTCAGCCTCTACTGTGAGATTTTATTTGTGTTTGTGTGCATGTGTGTATGGCTGTCATCTTTTGTACAGTGATTCTATGTATAGTATGTGCATCCTTGATAGAGTTTTTTGGAGTTCTGATTTTTGCTGCATTTTCTGCTGCATTTGAACTGTTTTTCAGAGCAGATTTGTACCTTCCTATCTCAACATACTGAAACATGTACTTGAATGGTTTGTTATCATGCTGGCGTGAATAAGTCTTTTGATACAAGGTGGCATCGATTGTTGATTGTCACCAGTACATTTCTTAGTTTTTTACCTCAATGTGATTGCTGTTTTTAGGAAACACTATGAAAGCAAATTTTAGATGAAAGTGTGATCTACTCTTTTCCCTCCCCTCCCTGTTCCTCCCTCTTCCTCTCCTTTGCTACCTTCTTCTCATTGGTCTCACAGTGGTGCACTGCTCATTAGCTTTCTGTCAGTCTCGGTTTCTGTCTCCCACTCCTTCCTCTTTTTCCCCCTCTTCTTTTTCTCTTTCTCCTGTGCTGTCAAGCAGCTTCCTCTTTCCCTTCAATCCCTCCTTCCTTGCGTGTGAATTCAGTGAAAGATTCTTCAGGGATCTCCAACCTTTTCGCCATTCAGACCATTTTCCTGTTTCTTCAGAGCAGCTTCTTTCTTTCCTTCTCACCTTTCTTTTCTCTTATCTCTCTTCATTTGCCCCCCACCCCCCTTTTTTCTCATTTGTTTGGTAAGAAATGAAAGCAGGCTCTGAACCCGCCACCTACATTCCTGCAAAACACACACATACAAGCACATAAACTGGAATCGTGACTGCTGTACCCATACAAGCACACAGTGAGAGAGCAAAAATATACCAGCAAAGAGGACTATTGACTTCTCCGTGATTATACACACACACACACACACACACACACACACCAGTATTTACACATATAAAGATGCACAACGCTCAGAGTGCATCAGAAAGACAATATAAACACAATCACACATTACTGTCTCCACACAGCCCTGACCATAGAGCAGGTGAGAGAAACACAAGTGGAAATGAGGGGAAAAACGGAGAGAGAGGCAGAAGTGAGAAGAAGAGAATGTGTGAAAAGAAGCAGGTGATGACGAGGGAGAAGCCAGACTCTCTTACTGTAATGGCTTTCAAACAGGGGCTGCTTCATGAGTTCAGCTTCACTTCAAATCCTCCCATCTGTCCCCCAAAGACGCTAGCTGATCCTTCTTTAATACTTCCTTCTGCTAGAGGAAAACACCCAGGACACTTTCTACCTTTGCTTGTGTGTGTTGCTATTGTCAGACACTGCCCTTCAAGACTTGACCCATAGAGCCCAGTATAAGCAATTGTTTACTTGGGGTGATCAAAAGATCCTTCAAATACTTCAGACTGATAATATATTTTTTAATATCTTTCATCAATAATATTGACAGCTTGTATTACTGCATGGTGAAATAACACACAAAAAGAAAAGGTGTTTCTCGAGAAAAACTCTGTGTGTATCCTTGAGGCCTGAAAAACGTATACGTAAAGTATTTTAAATTGTGCTTTCCCTGTTTGCTTGCTTGCAGTCTTCTTCCTTTCCTTTGTTTGTGCATTTCTTTCCATGTTAACACCACACAACTATCCATCAGAGTGCAACCAGTAGCAGCATCTGTTTATCAAACTTTTTTTTAATCAATTAATTGAAGCATTTTTTTCCTACTTAATGCCAAATCCTAATCATCAGCATCTACACTATGCTGGTGGCCCACTGACATTTTCAGTGGAATATTCAACAAAAAAAAGGACCAAAATACTTTCATTTATGTAAATACAAAATATCTAGTAAAAAGTATTAAACAGCATTCTTTTATCGGTTTAAATTTGCTTTAACGTTAGTCGCCCTTAGTCCTCGCTACCTGCTTCCATTAAAATGACTCACACAATCTGACCTTTTCCACTCTTGCATTTACTGTAATAATATGTTAAGTCTGTATAGTGAGCCTAAACAATACCTGTAATTACAAACTAAACTTTGAATTATCACTCATTTAGCAGTGATCCAAATGCAGCAGTGAGTACATCATGAGTAATTCTTCTTCCATACAGAGCTCGGGAGTCACCTACTTCACTTGATAGCAGTGTTCTCTCATCTTAGCGTGTCAAGGTCAAGCGTGGCTAATAGCCAAAACACTGTCATTGACACAGTGGTGGTTAGCGCTGCAGCCAGCAGCTGAAGGACTCTCAACGTCATGTAAGTCAAATGATGGGCAGTGGAAATAGAGTGGAAATGTAAAGTGCCACCAATTTTACTGTCAGAGAGAAGTCATTTGCAGATAAACCCTTATTGTGGCAGAGCTCGTGGCTTGTACAATACTGACAGAGGACAGACCAATCTAGTTTATATTTAAAGTAGGCTTTTTGTTATATGTATCACTGCCATACAAGAAAATAAATGCAAGTCTTCCAAAAAGAAAAACATCTTCCAACTCCTGTAGTATAGAAGTGAACCAGGCTATGGATATTATTGAATCTTACTTATTAGGAGCTAAACTTTGTTTTTAACCAGAGAGACTGTCCCAAAAACGGTTTAGAAGAACTTCTGTATGTCTGGAGGGCATAGTAACAGAATCCATGTATGGTTTTTTTTGTTTATTTCGTTTCAAAACCGAATCGGAAAAAAAAAAAAAAAAAAAAAAACTTGTTTTTTTATTTAAAATCAAAATGGAAAAACAGATAAAAAGAAAACACTGACGTAAGGGTTTGTATTTACTTCTACTGCGCATAAAACCAGTTGGGAAAAACGCTTTTTAAACCTTATTTTGGTGCAAAATCATTTGTTAGATTTTAATGGTGATTCTATTCATGTAGTTTTTATGTCCTAGTGACCAGTAAAACTGCAGTTCTGGCTCTCTCCCCATTTATTCAGATAGGAGCCTGGTCTTGTTAGTCCGAAATAGCTGCCCGGAGGCGTTACCAAGATGGCTGCCGAGTGGCATGACTTGTCTATAAGGACTTTGCTTATACTCACCTACAGACGTTGGAACCTGAACAAAAACTGGGTCAAATTAACTGCAGGTTCTTTAGGAATTGGGCCTTGTTTTCTTAGGGTTCCAACTGGCTCAGACCCATCCATATAAACCAAGTCACAGACCTGAATCTGAATGGACTTTCGTTTGTCAGCATCCTTTTACTACAGTGGTTTTAGTACCACATGCAGTGTCCATGTCAGCGAAGAAACGTGTGTCGCACACAGCCATTTTGGCCTGTTGTTTCGGTGGTTTGAGGCTCCCTATAATTGCTCTTTTGTTTAGTTAAAACTTTCGAGATTTCTAATGCTTTAATGGGGGTGGCAACCTGCATGTTTGATTAGGCCACTTGTTGAACAGCCTGCATAGTTTTAAGTTAAAGATTTTGTACTCCGCTTTGTTCACACTTCTGTGACACAGCGGAGCTATAAAGGTGCCATTTTTGCCACCTTTGTTTCAGTGCGTAAACACATTGAACGCAGAACAGAACAGAGATGCAAGTATGCTTAGGCTAAAAATCCCAGAGTCTAGAGCCACAATTTCCAATAAAACTCAGGATCTCAATTCAACAAATATTCAAGCCTTGTGAGGATTCACTGATTTTTAACAATACCTCTGCGAGTGCCTTGTGAATGAAACAGGCGGTCTGATGGGACACCTCCCATGGTGACTTCTCTTCCACCATGATGGAGTCCAGCGTGGCTTTCTCTAGGATGACATCGAAAGACGCATCAGGGAAGGAGAGCTGGCTGACGTCCATCTGGTGCCAGGTCATACCCGGGCAGTCGCTGTACCTGGCACTCATTGTACTGATGCACACTGAGGAGTAGTCCATGTTGGTGATGGAGTGGTAGCCGGCACTGTACATGTCGCCACTCATACTGCTATTTCCACAACCTGAAGGAAAAGAGAGGAGAGAAAAAACCATGTTGGGAGAGGAAATAGGCCCTGAAAGGAAGAAATATTGGAGGAAGAACTAAGAGGGAGAGACTGAAACCAAGATGTCTCTGATGACTCAAATCCCCAATACGTTTTTCATGTATGAGTAAATGATGATGCGATCAATATAGCAACAATACCAAGTTCCCATCATGACAACAAAGACTGCTGTGACTGGGACCACCTCTCCTGTGATTGATGAGACAAAAAAAGAAGCACACACACACACACACACACACACACACACACAGTCTCTCTATTTGTTCAAGTGGCTGTACAATCATGAGCACAAACTGTGATGGAAACTTCCCACTCCAGAGGACAATATGGGGCTCATATAAAGCGTGTTCAGGGGGGGCAGCCTATTTAGACATGACCACGGACCGCACAAAATCCATCACAAGCAACAAGGTCTCAATTTTGAATTGAATGAAAGCTAAAGGTGGGAAATAAAAAGAGGACAAAAGAAAAGTTGAGATAGCCTCTCATGTGGCAAGACAAGATGAAAATAATCTATTGAATGTTGCATCTCACCTTTTGGATCAGATGACTCATAGATCGTGTTGATAGAGGAGGAGTGGGTGGAGCTGACAGGCAAAAGAAAATAAGCGAAGGAAGCAGTAGGAGGAGAACATGCGAGAGACATGGACGCTATCTTAATGTACTTGTTTTGTTTCGGTAAAGGTGAAGGTCATATTTGTTAACCCTTGGAAAGGCCCATTTTCACTTATTAAAGCTGCAATAGGCAACAAACGAACCTACAACGGAAATCCTTTGGTGTCTCTCTGCTGCTCGCATCACTCTGCTAAGCCCCTCCCAACAAACCCACAAGTTAGTACGGCAGCAGAAGGAGCCATTTGCCCTGTGAAACTTCATCCCTTGTAGGGCTCGTTCTCCATGGCGAAAGCCTTGCCAAGAGTTGCATGCAGCAACTCCTCTTCCTAAAGATCCTGCTCCAGCCCTCAACGGCACACAGCAGAGTACACAAGTCTTCAGAGGAAGCTGCCACGCCATGTAACAGCAGAATGAGAGGCTAATAAACCACTGCCTCAGTTTAAAAGTTATTAACCACTGTTTGTTCATAATGCCTCTTTGCCACTTGTCAATACCAGCAGTATGGCATTGAACATAATGAGCACGAAGCTCACACACTGTTGTTTGCAAAGGGGGGGGTACGAAGTGTTTTCATTGCAGGTGGGGCTGTGACTTCCAGCAGCACGTTGGCATTGACACCTCAGCTGCAAACGTGTGGCTGGCGCTTGTTAACACCTTACTGCTTCTACTAATTACCAGCCTCCAAAAGCACCATGAGTGTGTGCGCAAGCGCGTGAGACTGATCCAGTTAGCAGCCTCACATGCTAAACAACACATTTGTAACCCATTTCGGTGTGTGAAGTACATGTAGAAACCTTATGTTGTACACTCATAGTAGGCATCACATATATACATACATGGACAACTGAAAGGCAGCAGATGAGAGATAGAACTATGAAAAGTGACAAGGAGAGAAGCAACACCAGTCACAGATCGATTAAAACATTGTACGGCAAGAGGACTCCACCAGTGATAGTGTTAGCTGCTTATGCATGCAAATGTTTGTGTATGTGTGTGTGTTCCAGACATCAGAGGGTTGGCACTGTGCCGTGCCATCTCCTGATGGCTCTCCCCGTGACGTTGGCTTCAAAACAAGGGAGGAAATATCTCAGCGCTGTTTGTCACACTCAAATAGTTGAACGCTTTTTTTATGTATGGCTGGAATATGAGAGAATATGTCAGGGTTGAATTACACAGGCTCAACAGGTTATTTTAGATAACTTTAATCTTCTTTTACGTGTGCCAAAAGTGAGCAACAGCTTTGGAAAATTCACTTTACATGGAGGAGGGGCAACCTGACAAACATGACTTATAGGAACACTAACGATTATTTCCATCTCAAAACAGATCAGAATCACCACATAAATGGTGGCTCGGGGGGGTTAAATTCCCCTTGCACTGCCCTCTCAAATCCCCAAGCATGCCAGACATTGTTTCCAAAGGGTTCCCCCCGCTGACACAGCTATGTGTGTGCATGCATTTTCTTTTTCCATGCACTCCGCTCTGAGGAATGGGTGTTACATGACAGCTGATTCTTGGGGGTTGTCACGACAATTATAGTTGCCAGGCTGTCATCAAGAACACTACTCTCATTCTGAGTCTGTGACATCAGCTGGTGCCCCCCGCAACCTTTAACCTTTATACACACACACACACACATACACACACAGCAAAAGAGATCTGTCTGACAGGTTGTCAGTCTGTGTGCATGTGTGGGGAAATCCTAGAGTGTTATGTATGGAGTGTGTTTATGTGACAAAGGTTTATTCAGGATACCAGTCTGGAGCCTGAAGTCTGTCTTTCCTCCAGCTGGAAACGAGGAAGCTTAAAACCTCCTGACAGCCAGAGAGTGCATCCTAACTGGATTATCCAGAGAGGCAGACTAAAGTTAGAGGTGTCATATCACCTTGTTCTGTGTGTGTGCATGTGTGTGTGTGATGGAAAATCTGAGTCCCGGTCTTAAAAGGTATCATACCACTCATAGCAAATTGTCAAAAACAAACTGTGGTGAACATTCGTCATCTGCTTGTGACATGAGCAAACTGCTTGTTAGTTCACGCATTTGTTAGGCATGTTTGCCTCTATGGGTCCATTTAAACAGGAAATTCTGCACTAATAAGTTTTGTTTTTTTAATAATAGAAGTAAACCCACTGGTAGTGCAGAGAGAAATGCTGGCCAAACATGGAGATGGTTCTTTCCTGCAGGCTCAGAGATGCTCGATCAAACAATGGTATCAGGTTGCATGACTGACCTGACAAACCCTTTGATATTCAAGAAAAAGCTTAACATGCGACTCTCACACAGCTGTGGAGATGCACCACAGGAAATGAAACATCTGAAGTAATCCTCTGGAATAACACAGCATTCCTCTGCTGCTCGCACAAAGTTTGGCTTACCAAACATCAGGATAGATCAGGACAACGGGATAAGCAAGTACAAAGTATTTTCCTAAATGACACTGATAAAATACACCAAACTGAAGAGTTAAGCTAGTTCATCCTTCAATCTATACCGCCCATGTCATAAAAAGATGAATATAGAAATAAGGATACTGCCAATAGCAGAACTCCTATAAGAAAACCTGAGTTATTTTACTGTAATTTTCCACAAGGAAAAACCCCATTCAACACCTTGCTACAGTAAGTCATCAAACTGGCAGTCTATGTGGGTGCTCACCTCAGTTATAGCACAAGCGTAGAGGATGGTGTTACAGGAGTATGCAATGGTAAATGTAAACTCAGAGCTGAACTGTAATGATGACATAAGCTTGTTTTCTATCTAGAAAGTGCTGCTCCGTCAGAGCATTAGCATTAATACTTTGTTCAAAAATGTGTCCAAATTTAAGCAATCACATCCTAATTTGGAACACAACCCCAGCTCATCCTCACACCAAAACTCTCAGCTAAGATTAACGATTCCTTTTTAGTATTTTATTAGTTAGTCAAGCTCCTTGACTATTACTCAACACGAACTGTTGGAGATTTGACCTTTGGGCTATCAGATGACCTCCCTCCATATAAACAGCGACTTTCCAGAGTCCATCTATGGTCAGGAGGGGTGGTGGGTGGGGAACCCCTGCGAGGGAGCCAGCGGTGTGAAATATCAAAGCTGCTATCTCTAGGAGAAAATCGCAGCAGTGGAAACTCCATGATGTCAGAGGCATGCAGGCTATTCATTCACATCCCAGATTGGTTTAGACACATTAAGGATGGGGACTGTGGCCAGTGCTGATGAAAGGTGACGTTCACATGTGCTCTAGAAACAACACTGATCCCCCACCACCCCTGTACACCCTGCAGGCTCTGGACAAGACCGAGGTAAACTAATGCCACAGTGACGCTTTGCAAAGTTCAGCTGCAACTACTGTAAATGTCAACATATGAAATGTGCCCGAGTGGAGTGTTAGTGTGTGACTGTGTGTGTGCATGCACATTTATCATGTGGCTGTATGTTAAGTGCATGCCTTGCACCTGGGCTTGTTTTGTAAATTTGTGGGTGTGGTGTGTTATCTGTCAAAAAGAAAATCAGACATTTAGAAAGATTACTTATATTTAACCAATTTAAACAAAAATAAAGACCCAGATGTGAAGCTAATGTTAGTGCAGTTTGTGTGATTAAGTTTGACTTTGACTGATCATGTTAGGTCACAAGAAGCCTGCACACGTGTCTGTGTTTGTGTGCGTGCACCATGACAATAATGATAGCAGACAGTGTGACACTGGGCCTTGTTTTAACCAATTATCTCTTGTTATCTTTTCTCAGTTAAGTTCCACTGTTGCACACAAACATGTCTTTAATTTATTTGACCTATATGGAGTAGTAGTTTAAGCTGTTCCGAACGGCCACACTTGAAGGCGGGGTTTTAGAGAAAGAGGTGACATGCGATTAACTGCAGAAGTGGAGATAACTTGCTGACAGTCTGACCTTGAAAGCATCCATGGTGTTGCACTCATTTGCATCCACGAACAGTGACAGGAGAATGGAAAAAACTAAAAAGCTTGAGAAATGAGCGTGCTTGCTTTGCGAAGCGTACTGACCCCTTTATTAAGCCGTCTTAAAAAATTCAGCTGAGTTTCTGATTAAAAATGCACTATTTTCAAGAGTTGTGCTGACTGTAACAGCCTCACAGCATGTTCAGCCTCACGCTGAGACAGATGAATGAGAATGTAGAATATTTAGGCAAGAAGGAGGGGAGAGGTAGAGGTGGAAAGAATGGGGAAAGATAAGACACCAGAAGAGGAGAGGGGAGACACAAGGAGTAAAGCAAAGCAAAAGAGGTCAAAATAAAATTGAGAGAAACAAAACAGAAGAAACTTTTCTGTCACTAAGAAAGCATGACAGAAAAAAAAAGAATGAAAGGTTG